GGGGGGGGCCACTAGACCGATCTCGGATGCCGAGCAGACGATGTAGCCACCAGGCCACCGGAGGACGTCCGGCCCTCTCCGCTCTTGGAGCGGGCGAGGGACCGACCAGGGGCAGGGCCAGGCCGAGGCCAAGCCCACGGTGAAGGGGCGAGATTGAGGCACTCGGTTGGCCTGGATTCTCCTCTTGCATGTCCTCGGCCGCCGGATCCCCCGACGTCCGTTGTCGAGCCTGGCCGGGCATCGCGGCATTCCGCTCGCGTATCTCGGTCTTTTTGGGGAGCATGCTAGACCACGGCAGCCGGTCCCTGGCCATGACCAGCAAGCACATGCCTGTGCGGTTGACTTTCCCCACCTTTTCCTCCCCTCCCGTGCGCGATCTTCCTGCATCTTCTTTGTCTTCCAAGCCTCTGAACGGCAACGCCAGCGGCGGCGGCATCGGCTCCCCCTCCCCCTCCTCTCAGAAACACCAACATGAGCAGCCAACTTCTTGACACCCGGGCCCTTGAGATCGATTCGGGTCCGGAGCACGAGTCCCTCGCTCAGCCGGATGCCTTCGGCCGGATGGCGACCCTCATGACATGCGACCGTTCGGTCCTGCTCGGTGCGTCCCCCCGTCGCGGGATTTCCACTCCCCCCCATCGCGCCCGATCGATACCGATCACCCTCCTCTCTCTCTCTCTCTCTCTCTCTCCCCCCCCCCCCCCCCCCTCCCCCCCTGGTCATCTCTCCTGACTCACCGCTCGAGTGTGCCTCCCAACAGAGCAGGATCCGCAAGCCTCAATCCTGAGCCAAAGCGAACTTCCGAGCACCGGGAGTTGGTTTCTCCCCCAAAATAGTACCCAAAATGCCTGGCCGCCTCGACTCGAGTGTCCGTGATATAGCCCTGCTCAAGTGCACTTTCTCCCCGGGCTCATGCGAAGTTCAAGCCATTCTGACATTCGCGCGCGCATCTCCATGTGCCGCTCGGTCTCTGGAACAGCCATGCGCCTGTCGAGTCAGATTGCCGGGCCGGCTTCAACGGCGGCCTGCCCTTCGCACCAGTCGCTCACGGACTTCCAGTACCTTTTCCAGCGCACTTTCTCCCATCCCCGGGGGATGTCGTGGATGTCCGCCCCGACCGCACCGGTTATCGACATGGAGGTGCCCTGCCCGGGGGAGGCTTTTAGTTTGATATTCTGCCCACCTGCCGCATCGCCGTCGGATTCGTCGACTCCAATGGACAGCCACATGGGCGAGGAGGCTTGCTTGTCCGCGGGGGCCACGGGATCCGCGGAAAGTACCGTCACCGCGGACGACGAGGCAGATGAGGCAAGCGAGGCGGACGGGCCGGACGAGGTGGCCAAGGAAGGCCAGGAGCCGGAGCACCGGAGGCACAGCAAGGCGGAGGAGGATGCTGGTCGATCCCCGCCGGAGCGGGGATCTTTTCCTGCCATGGCCAAGGCCGATCCCCAGCAGGTCGGGCCCGGCCTGGATGTGGCTCTGGAGGCGGATTTCGCCTCAGCCTCCAGCAACTGCGACGAAGTGCAGGATCTCATCAAGTTGGAGGGCGGCAGCACGCGGATATGGCCGGAAAATCCAACCACCCCACCGGCATCCCACCGGCTGGGTGCCTATGAATCCACCTCCCCACCGGCCAGCTCGCCGGCCCTGCGGCCTCATACGGCACCGGCTGCCACCGATGCCGGTCGCAAGCGTGCACGCTTCGCCCCCGCTCTCAAGCGTGGTGTCCCGGCTCCGGCCCCGGACAAAGACGATGTCGACTGGTGGACAGATCTCGACCGGGAGGCCACCTCTTCACCAAGATCCACACCCGATCTGACCGGTGGCCTGGGCCCATCGCCCGAGGAGGTGGGCCAGGCCATCAGCCAGGCTCTGCGGGACACTGGGCGCCCGGCTGGCCGGCCCTTGGCGCTATTGCCCTGTGACATTGCCATTTTCTCGGACAGCGTGGTGGTGGCTGGGCGTCTGCGAATTCCGATTCGACGGTCGGTCGTTGCGACCGCCGGCGCAGCCGGCACGGGGCCCGGGCGCTTTTTCGAATTCACCACCCCAAAGGCCGCGGACTTCCTCGCCCTGTATGACGCCATTGGGCCCTTGGCTCAGCGGGAGGGCTCCCTGCAGGCGCCCTCGGGCCCGGGGTCGGTCAGCATCGCCCGGACCATGCCGCTGCCGGCTGCCAAGAGCTTCACCGCCCGGTCGCTGCCGGAGCTGGGTGAGCGCATTCGTCGGGCGCAGGTTCGTCAAACGAAGAACCGCATTGCCGCACGCCGGTGCCGCGAAAATAAGCACCTGCAACAGCGAAATCTCCGGGAGACCGTGGATCGCCTGCGCCAGCGTGTTCGCCACCTGGAGCAGGCGCTGGCCGGGTGCCGCTGCGAAGGACGTGCCCCGGGCCGCTCCCATGGCGGACACTCCGCCTGAGTCGCATGTGGTGTTTGTCATTGCCCCCCCCCCCCCCCCCCCACTCACACATGAATGTGTTTCGGCGTTTTTTTTTTCCTTCCCTCCCTCCCTCTGCCTGACGCAGAGATCACATCCACGCCCAGGGGGGGAGTCGCTCCCGCCCTGCTTGGCGCCCCTGCTGCCCGCCTGCCCGAGAGCAGGGCTGTTCGATTGTGCCCCGCCTCCTTCTCCTCACTTTGAGGCCATGCCCAATACACTGCCCTCCTTGCCCTTTTCCCCCCTCGGCCCTTTTGTATTCACGCCCCAGAGGGGGCTGTGAAACCAGAAATCCCGATCCGGAAGATCTGCGATACAAGCACAAGACCTGGTTCGAGGCAATGCCCGAGAGTGCCGTCGTGTCCCTCCGGGCTCGGGAGAAGGGGGGGGAGTCTGCGCGCCGGGGCCGGGACTTCGGCGGTCCGGCCCTTTGTTTGCTCGGGGCGGTCCTGCTGGTGGGACCTGGCCATCGGGCACGCGTCCATCACGACGCCTGCACCTTGTATCTCCTTCCCGGGTCGCCCGGACCCAGGTGTCAGGTGGATTGGCTAAAGAGAGTTACGTCACTTAGTCTCATGCGAACGTCTGACCCTCCCGGGCGCCGGGCCCTGTCTACAAGCTCTGCAGTGGCGGCGGCGGCAGCGGCGGCGGCGGCGGCGGCGACAAGGGCCCGGCGTGCAGACCGCCACGCTCTGGAGACATGAAATCCATAATCTTCCGGCCCTGTGGCGCAGAGAGGCGAGCAGATAGTTCTCCCAGCGCGGGTGCTTCGATCTGCAGCCCGGGGCCCAGAAACCTGGGTACCCTGCCGGGGCGCTGGCGCCCATGCCCCTCCAAATGACCGAGCGGTGGTCGGGTTGATCGCTTGTTATCCTCCGGCCCGGCCCCACGGGGAACCGGGGCGGGGCAGGTGCTTCCCCAACAGCACACGGGCAGACTGGGGGGCGGGGGGGGGGGGAGGCGTGCGCACATGTTTCCGCCTACATGCCCCCCCCTCTTGTGTCTTCTCTGATTGGAGTTCCGAAGCGGGGTCAGTTTCTCCGGGTCAGCACCCCGCGGTTCCCCCCCCCCCCCCCCCCGGGGTGGCGGGGGCTGCCGTGGTGTGCGCGGGCAGACGCGGGAAGTCTCCCGGTCGCCAGGCTCCGGTGCCACCCCCGCCCCCCATCAGTCTGGTCGAGACACCAATCGACCTTCTTCCCATTCGTTCAGGTGCGGGGGCGCACGGGGCGGGGGCGGGGGAACAGGGGCGCTGTTTCCCCCCCCGGACCTGACACCCTCCCTGGTGGTCAGCCACATTCTCTTGGCGCCAGGGCGGGCCCGGTGGATGTACACCGCGGCCGGCCGATTTGAGGCCCGCCTCTGCTCTTCTTCGACTGGTCCCCCCCCCCCGGGCCCAGTGCTGGAAGGCATACCGACACACGGACACACACACACACACACACGGACACACACACACACACACACACACACACACACACACACACAACAAGTCCGGGGGACGCACACGCTCCACCCCTGCCTTGAACAGGGAGCACCGGGGATTGGCCTTCCCGCAGGGGTTCGGGCGGGGGACGGTCAGTGCGGACGGGCATCCTCGACGCTGGTGGCGCTCATTGGTGCTGAGAAATAAGTGGCAGGCACGCTCCACCCCTGGAGCCGGTCGCAGCGGCGAATTCCCGGGCGGAGCGCCGCCGAACAATCTTCCCGAGCAAGGGGCCCCCGGGCCCATCCCCGCGCATCCGCAGCCGAGATCTGGCACACCAGCCGTGGAGCTGAGGACCGGACCGAGGACACATCCGGGGCAGGGAGGTAGCTGGTGCGGGGCCGTCCATTTTTCCGCCGCCGGGCCTGTGCCATCGCCGGGCGGCGATCTCGCGCCAGCGTCCTCCTCGTCCTCCTCCCGCTTCTCCTGCCCCTCCTCTTCCTCCACACGTCCACACTTCTTGCTTCAGCTTGGCCCCTCTCCCTGCGGCCCCGCCAACATACTCCTCCGTGACGCCTCTCCGGGGTCCTCGAGCTCCACCTCTGTTCTTGTTGGTACGTCGCGCCGACACCATGCCCTGTCCCCTTCTTCTCACATGCTGACATGCCGCACCAGTCGCCTCGCTCTCGGCGATCGCCCTCCTCTCTGGCATGGCTTATACTCTCAGCCGTGGCCGCGTGTCCGATGACTCGTACTCGCAACGGGTGAAGGGCACCGGACCGACGCCGGCCCCCGGGGCGGACGCCCTCCACCGGCCAGCCGGCGCCCCAGCCAATGGCCCTCAATCCGGGCGACCGGTTTTCTTGAATGTCTACGATCTTTTCTCAAAGAACCAGCCCCTGTATCACATCGGCCTTGGTGTCTTCCACTCGGGGGTACAAATCTTGGACCGGGAGTTCTGCTTCGGCGGGCACCCCTACAACTCGACCGGCATCTTCGAGTGCCCCCCTCGCAACATCGAGGGCGCTGTCTATCGCGAATCCATCCTCATGGGGTACACCTCCCTCTCGGACGCGGAAATCATCGCCTACCTCGATGAGATGGGCTCCACCCTATACACTGGTTCGCAGTACAGTCTGATCGGCCGGTATGTATCCCATTTCCTCTTCCCCCTTCCCGCCCTCCGTCTCTCTCTCTCTCCCTCTCTCTCTCTCTCTCTCT